TCAAAGCTCTTTTTGTTTATAATTTATGTACGAAATTAAAAAGGGGAAATTATTTAAACTAAACAGTTTATCTGTATAACAAAAGCTATCATTTTAACATTCTAATCGTGTTTTAACATAAAAATATTAGTTTTGTACAAGAGTAAATACAATTCCAAGATTTTGGTTTGCACTTTGTTGCTAAAATGCAAAACCTATTTTTATTCGTTTCTAATATCTTTCTAATGCAAAATCAATTGGTCGTCCAAAAATCGTAGCGTGAGGGGAGTGGTGGGGAGCCTTACAAAAAAGTGCTAATTTGTTTTTCGTCCTTTTTCGGATCTACGATATCCGAAAATTCATTCTTCAAATTTGCATATCTATCCGAACATTAGAAATATTTTTATTTTATTTATAAAAATACGTCATCCATTATTGTATACGGAGTGCCTTCATACAAAATGACTTAGAATGAGTCTAAAAACCCATATTTTTAAAATCGTTTTTCCTCGCTCTACCCCGAAAAATATTGGGTCTAGCAAAAAATGGCTTTCTATAAAAGTTATAGACCAAACATCAGAGAACATGCCGGTTTGTTTAGAATGTCGATTGGATAAATAGTTTAAGAAAAAATTAAATAAATCGAAAGGCATGTTACGACGCACAGTGACAAACGCAGAGATGCGAGGAAGGGGAGATTCATAATCTGAAGTCAACCTCAAATCGACTTTAGTAATGGCGATGTTGTTAGGGTCGATTTTACATTGAAATTGTGTTGTGTTGTATATTCGATTGCGAAAGTGCATCATTGTGCATTATTTTTTACTAATAGCACGAAATCCACTAAGCTGAGATTTTTAATATTAGAAGTTTTAAATTATTTTAATGAACAGCAGCAGGTATGACAGTGAACTTAAGTCAAAAATCAGATTACGGCATGTTTTTTTCCGTAAAGTCCATTTCCATTTTCGTTTGCTGAAAGAAGCGGAAACTGGAGAACACATTTTTGTTCTAGTTTTAGAAAAATTTACCCCTACTTCTTTGCATTTAACCATGTGAACTATTCTTTTTGGTAAACATTACATTTGTTGGACATGTACAAACTTGCTGATAAGGCTCCAGAATTGCATGAAGACTTTATGAGAAAAAATTTTGTTGTGAAAAGTTTGAACAGAAACTTTAAACCAACTATTTGTAGATCCAGCTTGAAACATATAAATACAAACTCAAAAGATGCAGGAGGAATCGTGAGATTGATTAAAACTAGCACCAAACAAGACGAATGGTTGTTAAGCTACAATATGATTGGCATGATGGTAGATGAATTTCGTGCATCATGAGACCTAAGCAACCACTCAAGTCAAAACGTAGACAATAGAAAAAAACGGATCAAAATTGACGAATATTCTGTACAAAAACTACATGATTAGTTTTTTACGATTTAATGTATTTTTCAAAAGCGTAGATCGTCTTCTCGTAATTTCAGCTAATAAGATTGCATCGCCAAATGTTCAAATACCCTTACTAAATATACAAAAAAAATGGAGAAGAGCCTAGCAAAATTTCTTCTTACTGTTAGAACTCCCAATTTTTATCAGCATACAAGAAGTACTTTCAACATTTCCAACACTATAAAACTGTCTCTGAAAAGAAAAAAATTATTTATGCTGAGCAAGAGCTTTTATAAAAAATATTAATAACCAAGGTAATTGAAAGTAACATAAATATTATGAGAATATTTTCAAATATGAATTTACAGCATATCCAATGTCACTTGTACCTGTAAGAGTTTTATCGATACCATCAAATAAATCTGCCTTAGGTTCTATAATAGGACAGTTTACAGTTATGTCTAAATATCTACCATTACCATTATAAAGTAACAAAAGTGTCACATTCTTAAAGGTATGAGTTTAATCCAAACCGTTGGCAAACCCTCCAACTGCAAATCATTTGGCGACTATGCAAGAATTTTAAAATCAATAGTGTTCAAGAACCTCTACAACCCTAAAAGGATTGGTTTTGTATTTGACCAGTACTAACAATCTTTGTAATGGTCCATATAAACTTTCTCCTACTTCAGACAGTATAATATATAATATTCGTGTACATACTCATCCAAACGAAGGTATGAGTATGTAGTGTGACACCAAGACTTTGACTCCCGAATCTGTTGCTAACTGGCTGGAGTAAAGAAAATGTAAAGCTGGTACCAGTTTTAAGCACGGAATCCAAGTTGAAGAAACATACATACATATACTATACTCCTAATAGGTGTAAAAGATGAGTTTATTTTTACCTTTTTGTGAAGATTAATTATTAATTTGGTTTTTTTCTAATTGTTAGACTGTACAGGGGTTCCAATGCTCATGTAAACGGAAACGAGATCAAATTCATTGGTTCTTGTAAATATATTATGGCGCAAGTGAAATGTTACAAAAAAGGCGATACACGTGAACAATTTTAACCATAGAGAGTGTTACTTCTTTTTATAGTAATGAAGAGTCTAACAAAGAGTAAGATAACTAACACAAGATAATAATTAAGAAATAGGTACATAGATTGAATTGTTTTTATTACTATCCTTTGTTCTTGAACGTGAAATTTGCTGCCAGGGAAAAACCGGTGCAATTTTAGATGTTTTATATATCACAAGATTTTGAATTTTAACGCCGTTACAACGTCCTTAATAAGCTTTATATAATACTAGATAATAATGTATGAAAATTTTTGAGACAAACCCCGATGTACCAAGTCACCTAGGAATCGAACACCGAAAGAGTCCCACAGGTCAATCCTTTTGATAACGTGGGTATCTGGGATGAGTGAATTTTCCCCTACGAGGGAGTGCGAGCTGTATAGCTAAATTTGGATTTTCTTCAGTAAACGAATTTAAAGGAAATATAAAGTTAATTTGTTTATAAAGCTATAGCTCGTAAACTATTTGACGTACAGTGTCCAAGTTTAGCATAAATGAACTACATATATTGAAAAATATTCCCGTGGAATCTTAATATAGTACGTGAACAGCATAGTTGGTCCCTTAATTATAAATGATATGCAAAACAGATTTGTGTTTGTAACTCTCATTCAAATTGAACGCAATTGGATTTATTTTGTAAGTCTTTTAAAAGCGATTAAAATAAGTTTTTGACATTTTTTGTAAAACAAACAGTGGAGAAGATATGCGAAGAAAAATTGGAAAAAAATAATACTACAAATAAACAATGTCTCCGAAATTTTTTAGACTTCGAGTACTTATCAACGTGTTCTACATAATTTTATCTAAAAAATTACTTAAAATCAACTAACTCCTAAAAACGTCATCAAAACGACGATTTTGAAGCTCTTCCCAATGGTTAAAGAAGCTGTTATATATTCACACAAAATTTGTGTATTTTCAACTCTAAATTTATAATTTAATTAATTATTCTAATTTTATATCTATATCCATAATAGTTCTAATCTAATTTCAAAATGTTTATTTAAATAAAAATGAAGTGTTCCAGTTGAAAATTCAAAGTTGCTACACCCACCGCGTTCACAGGGAGAATAAGAACCCTGCTATTGCATAAGTATATCTATATTTTGAAAAACCATTAAAAAAGAATTCCTAAGTTTTTTCGATACGACGTCTAGTTCTCGAGATATTTGACAATCGCCTTTCTGGACAGAGCTCTTTAATAATGTAAATAATATTATTCAAACCGGAAATAAGTCGAAGGGAGTGAGAGGTCTGACTGTAAAATTCATTTGCGATGTTGCCAAATTTACCGGATCTCGGGTTGTCTACAAAATGTATATTTAGCATATACACAACGGATCGCTCACACTGCCTCTACAGCGGATTTAGTGGAACTACTGCAATATAAAATTCACCAAAAGGGGTGCAAAATGAGGTCCAGACAAAAATCGATTTCCTTGTACCCCCATCATTGTTACATCGAGATGTCACTATATACACGTGAATACAAGGTGAGATCCAAAATCGGATCTCGCCTTGCAAAACGGATCTCATTTTGTATAGCTTATGATACAAAACGGATCTCGCCTTGATATGAAGACATATATATATATATATGGATATACATATATATATATATATATATATATATATATATATATATATATATTCCGAAGAGTTATTTATACAAGCACTTGAAAACTGAACAGAAGGGATCAAAATAAATGGTGAAAATATAAATAACATCCGTTATGCTGACCATACAGTCATTATCGCTAAAACTAAAACAGATCTGCAGAAGTTATTAAACACAATTTGTGATACTGGGAAACAATTTGGTTTAACAATAGACATAAAAAACCAAAAACCATGGTTATCAGTAAGAGAGGAAAAGTCATTACCAAAAACGATCCAGATAAAAATGAAGACATTAAGCGAGTGGAGAAAATAAAATACTTAGGAGTCTCGATTGCGGAAGATCTAATTCCGAAATCAAAAATTCGGTCAATAATAGAGCAATTAAGCGTTTTAGAGCCTTTGAAGATGAGGAAATGTCTGAAAAACCAAAGACTCAATCTGCAAATTCGATATCAGATGGTAAAATGTTATATCCACTCTATTCTTCTTTATGGTGCAGAAGCCTGGACTGTTAATGTTGACTTAATAAGAAAACTGAAAGCATTTAAGATGTGGCTTTTTAAAAGAATTTTAAAGATATTATGGGAAGAGACGTTTTAACCACCATTAAAAGGCGAAGGCATATTTGAGGCACATACTTAGAAATAATAAGTACGAGTTGTTGCAGCTGATTATGAAGGGTAAAATCGAAGGAAAAAAGGGGGTCCTGGTAGACGACAAATATCCTGGTTGAAAAACATTCGCAACTAGAGCGGGTTAAACACACAGACGCTCTTAAGAAAAGCAGAAGATAGAGACGAATTTGCAATGGTTATAGCCAGTCTTCATTAGTGGAGACAGCATCAGAAGAAAAACAAGTAGATTTGTAGGTCTAAGTAATTCTAATTTTTGTAAGTAAATACTTTATTTATTATTTTAGGTGAACCAGAGAGTGAACTGGTTTTAACAGTCGCCACAAAAAATACGAGTTTCGGAGCATCAATTATACGAGCCGTTTGTACTACTCCCCCATTGACAGTTCGTCCAAACTTTACATGGTTTCTCAATGGAGACCAGGTAAATAAATATTTATTTATTACAAATAGGGTGATTGATTTGTGTGATAAAGCTCAGTAGATCTGCTATAATAATGAATACAATCAAAGTTAATAACAATAATTGTAGCTAACTTTAATCTCGATACTACAAAATTAGTTAGTATGTTTGAGAGTTTTCGATAATAAAGTGGAAGAACAAATTATTCCTTTAAATGGAACACCCTGTATTTAATTTTAGATTCCAAAATTTGATTCACTTTCCCATCACAACAATTTAAAGTTTTGTTATGTTATACAGCGTATTTAGAAAGGTACAACTAATTTTCTATAAAAATCGTAACAACTTAAATTCCCTGTTTGAAAATAAACACAATAACAATAACCTATTGCTACCACATTTTTTATTGATCGTCAAAATTTTCAAAAATTAAATAAATTGGTCTTAAGGTAAAGCCTCTTTATAACGAATACGGAGTGAGCCAAAACGCAAGTACATTATTTTCTCAGTAATTTTAAATAAAACAATCTGTATGTAATGCCGATGCTAGTATTCCGACGCTATGGTTTTTGTTACGGACAGACAAACAGAATAATACGTTATAAATAAGCTATAGTCTCGTGCTTGTCACTTCTGATGATATTTGATTAATATATTAGTCCAGGCTGTGAGGTCGCTCCCGTTCGGAAAATGTTTCTGATTCGGTTTCTTCGCGGATTTCGGTTCTAAAATGTCCCCTTTAAACAAATCTGAAGGGTGCCTGGCGAAATTTTTGGGCAGAAATTGTTTAAAACAATTTTTTTAAAAAAAGTCCAAAAATATATTTTTTTTAATCTGTAAAACGTTTTTTTAAGTTTTTTGGGCTATTTTAAACAAAAAAAGTTTCTTGTCATTTTTCTCTAAAGTTCATAGTTTTCGAGTTATAAGCGGTTTAAAGTCTGAAAAACGCGAAAATACGCATTTTTGAGGCTTGAAAACACATATGTAAATTATTATTTTTGAGGCTATCAAGTGTCTAAATTAAAGTTTGAACATTCAACTTCAAGATTGTGAAGAGTAATCGGGGCTTATTTTAATTAAGACTGTTGTTTTTTAATTGTTAAATATGCGCGTACACTCGATTTTTGAGCCGCCGCGGCGCCGCGCGCTACCGTGCGCCTCTATCGTACTTATGCATAGTTTACATATACTTACAAATAATTATTATTTATTGAGTATATATTTATTTATATCAATTGAGTTATAATATAAATTTCGTCTAAAGTCTAATAATAGTTACATAAAATAATTGTACAAAAGATTGTTAAATAACACACTAATATCACTCAGTAAAAGTATCTTTGTTTTCACAATAATCTAAATCACATCCACATAATGATACACAGTTGACATGATTTTTCTTGCAGTTGCAAGCATTAGTTTTACAAGTCTTTTTGCATTTGCCCGGTTTCCCAACCCACCACTATCAGACATATAATATCCATATTGTGTAAAATCGAAAGTTTGTTAGCGGGAATATATGGCATTTCGCCAAATATATGTTTTAGCTAAAGCTCTTAACAAGTGTTGGTAAAGTGCGTCAGAGGTACAAGGTATATTGGCTAGATTAAATTAAATTTTTCAGTCACACTGTGTTTTCGTCGAAGAGCAGCATTTTGTATTGTTATGTAAAAATCTACTTTAGGTTTTTGCACTAACTTAATATTGTTGATATTGTTACAAAAAAAAAAATAAACTAAATTTTCTTCGGTAAGTTTTCATTTAAGAAGAGGTACGGAAAAAGACATTTTAAATCTATTCACAATTTTTTTAATAACACATTAATGATATAATACCCTTTTAATGGGCATTAAACAATAGTCTTCCTAATAATCGTTTAAGTGATAACAAATCAAGTATGAGCGCGCGATTGTTAAACAGGGAAAAACTTGCATTTTTGCCATAGTAAATTGTTTTTAAACACCGCGCAATTTAAAATTAAATTTACTAATATTAATATTTACTGCATTATATTATTTAAATAATAATTTAAAAATATTATTTACAATTGATATAAATAAATATATACTCAATGAATAATAATTATATTGTTAAAATTTGGAAGAAAAAAAAACTATATACGGTTATTACATTGCGATGATTGATTTATTTAATTAGCCCAATGACAATAATTAATACCTACATAAATAAATTATGGAAAAAACTATGTTAATAAACTTCAAGGATTTGTTCGGGTTTTTTTGCGTAAGTGTATATGTAAACTATGCATAAGTACAATAGAAGCGCACTCTAGCGCGCCGCGCAGCGGCGGCTGAAAAATCGAGTGTACGCGCATATTTAACAATTAAAAAACAACGGTCTAAATTAAAATAAGCCCCGATTACTGTTCACAATCTTGAAGTTAAATGTTTAAACTTCAATTTAGACACTTGGTAACCTCAAAAATAATAATTTACATGTGTTTTCAAGCGTCAAAAATGCGTATTTTCGCGTTTTTCAGACTGCAAATCGCTTATAACTCGAAAGCTATCAACTTTAGAAAAAAATGACAAGAGACTTTTTTTGTTTAAAATGATCCAAAAAACCTAAAAAAAACGTTTTTCAGATTAAAAAAACATTATTCGAATTTGTTCTGCCAAAAATTTCGCCCGGCACCCTTCAGATTTGTTTAAAGGGGACATTTTTGAACCGGAATCCGCGAAGAAACCGAATCAGAAACATTTTCCCTACGGGAGCGGCCTCACAGCCTGGACTATATGCACAAAATACTCATTTTTATTTTAGTCAAAACATTTAAAACCCTATATCTAAATGATCACTATTTTATTCATTATTTCAGATATTTAATATTTATTAATTTTATATAGAAACACTAAAAACTTTTTTTTTAGAATTTTCACATCAACCATTAAATGGTATTAGCGGGTTTTACAGATTTTACAGTAACAAAATACAGAGTGTTTCAAAAAAAGTAACCCCATCTCTAGGTAAAAAACTGAAAAATAATTGGGGTTTGCTTAGTAAAAAATTTTTGTAACGCCATCCATTTTCAAGATACAGGGCGTTAAAGAAAAAAAAATTTACGCATTTTTTACGATTTTGCTGAAACTACTGGCACCATTGTAATGAAATTGTATACGAATATGTTTTGGAATTGATGCTGGTTTAAAATTCTCTTTTAATTTCTCTAGTTAACCTTGTTAATTCGCTTTTGTTGGTGTCGATTTAATATATGAAAGATTTGATTCGCCTTCACTCTTAGAAATGCGAAAATAAAGAAAAAAAGTGGGTCGAATATCAAATCAATTTTTTTAATCGAATGTCATTAGGATACCTGTATGGAAAGGAACAACAAATCGGTAGTGTTTTTATGAAGTATGTAAGAGTGATCATCTTCTTCTTAGCGTGCCATATCAGAATTATTTGATGTTGGTGATCACCATTGCGATGGCTTCTCGATTGTCCTGCATTTGATATCTGAGTCCAACTACCATAGTTAATCAGGATAACCAGATAGTGTTGGGTGAAAAGGAGAAAATTGATATATGGGAAAATTATATCCAGGAGCTCTTCCATGACGAAAGACCCATGAGTGAAGTTTATAAAGACGACCAGCTGACTGGCCCTTCAATCACCAAAGAGGAGATAGAAAAGGCAATATTAAATTTAAAAAACAATAAGGCACCTGGACCAGATGAGATCCCGTCAGAAATACTCAAATTACTAGATAAAAGGGGAATTTCAGCACTACACAAAATATTTAATTTAATTTATGAAACTGGCTGCTATCCTCAACAGTGGTTACGCTCTACCTTTATTCCCCTGCCCAAGAAAGTCAATGCAAAAAGATGTGAGGATCACAGACTAATTAGCCTGATGAGTCACACTTTAAAGATATTCTTTAACCCTGCTGTCCTGTTCGGGTCTATTTGACCCAAAAAAAAAATTATTTCTTATTTTACAAATTATTACGCGGCGTAACGTTTTGGTGTTTCGTGACTTTATTACTTAATATGAGGTCTTTCAATTGCATAAAAGATAAAAAATCAACTTGCTCATTTTTTTGATAAAAATTAAATTGTTACCTATGGTACGCTCGGGTCAATATGACCCACTTATTTAAACCGTTAAAAATTACCTGTATAGGTATGTTTAGTTGGTAGTATTTTATATTTTCTAATAGTGTTTGTCAGTCAGGTACGTCTATAAATAAAAACAAGTTTCTACAAGCTAGAACTTGTAAAATATGTGTAGTGTAGCTGGACGATGTCAGGTAGAATGGCATGTCACGTAAAAGGAAGTGGGGGTGATAGACAAGTGGTAAAACACTAATATTCCAAGGCCAAGCGCATTCATTTATTCGTTTATATTTCAAATTTCAGTCTATGTTTGCATGTTGATAATGTCGCACCGTAGAGCGCTAACCGAAGATGAGCTTCGCGAGCTCGCGAACGTGTCAGAGAGTGATGAGTGCATATCAGAAACAGAAAACAATACAAGTAGTGAGAGTGAGGAAGAAAGTAGTGATGAATCCTTTGGTGTTCCATTCTACGTACAACATCCTGTAGAACCTTCTGTAACGGTTCCTTCAAAAGACGATACTATCCAATGGTCGCTCGATCCTCCTTATCAACGCGGTCGTTTTTCTACGGCCAATGTTATAAATAATGCTCCAGGAGTTACAAGGTACGCATGTGCACGAATTTTCGATATTAAAAATTCATTTGACGCACTCTTTTCTGACATAGTTGCAAACCAAATTATAAATATGACCAACATGGAAGGACAGCGTGTTTTTGGAAACAACTGGAAAGACTTAGATAAAATTGGTTTTCAAGCATACATTGGTCTGTTATTGTTAGCTGGAGTTTTTAAGTCCCATGGTGAATCAACTAAAAGTTTGTGGAATGAAGAAACGGGTCGTAGTATATTTCGAGCAACAATGTCCCTTGAAGTATTTACAAAAATTTCGCAAGTAATACGTTTTGATAACAAGACTACTAGACAGGATAGGAGACGTACTGATAAACTTGCTGCAATACGTGAAATTTGGGAAAAATGGGTTGAAAATCTACCAAAATTTTTTAACCCTGATGAAAATGTTACCGTCGACGAGCAATTAGTTGCCTTTAGAGGCCGCTGTCCATTCAAACAGTACATTCCAAGCAAGCCAGCGAAATATGGCATAAAAATTTGGGCCTTATGTGACAGTAAAAGTTCTTATGCTCTAAAATTGCAGATCTATACAGGAAAGGAAGCAGGTGCCGCGCCAGAACGAAATCAGGGAATGCGTGTGGTGTGCGACTTGAGTAGTGATTTGAAAGGCCACAATATTACATGTGATAACTTTTTTACATCGTACAATTTAGGACAACTTCTTCTAAAAAGAAAAAATACAATGCTGGGGACTATAAGAAAAAATAAACGAGAGCTTCCAGCACAAATTGCGAATAAAGAAGTTCATAGTTCGTCTTTTTACTTCACACAAGATACCACTGTTGTTAACTATATTCCTAAAAAGAATAAAAATGTTATTCTTATGAGTACTTTGCATCATGAAAAGGCTATTAGTGACAGAAATGACAAGAAGCCCCAAATTATTTTAGATTACAATTCCAGTAAGGGGGCAGTGGATACTCTAGATCAGCTTGTTGGTACATATACATGTAAGAGGAAGACAAATCGCTGGCCCATGATTGTTTTTTACAATATGCTGGACATTTCTGCCTACAACGCGTTCGTTTTATGGACATCGATAAATCCCCAATGGAATACCAATAAACTTACAAAACGACGAATTTTTCTTGAGGAGTTGGGAAAAACACTGGTGAAACCACTTATCCTTTCCAGGAAAAATTTACCGAGAACTAAAGACTCACAAGAACTGGTAAAAAGAACACGAGCAGAAGCGAGTAGAGAAGATGGAAATTCTAGTGAACCGTCTATGGACCATCCAACTCCGCCTGCTAAACGAGCACGCTGTAAATTTTGCTCTAAAAGGGATAACAAGACTAATATTTTATGTTGTATATGTCATAAACATATTTGTAAAACCCATTCTTTCTATTACTGTCCCAGTTGTAAACTGAATTAAATTTTGTAAATATTTGTTCTTAGGGTTTTCTGGGAAAGAAAAAATGCTTTTTATTTTTGTTAATAAGGTTTAATTTACAGTAACAATATAATTATTGTTTAATTAACTATAATTTTTTATTAATACAGTTTTGTTTAGCACCATTAGCTTATTTTATTTCTATTAGGGAGCGTAAATCATAGTTGGGTCATATTGACCCGAACAGTACATTTGTGTAGTTTACTCGAACGGTACAGCAGGGTTAAAATACTACATCAAAGATTATACAAAAAATGTGAATGAGACATAAGTGATTCCCAGTTCGGGTTTAGGCAAGGTTTAGGAACACTAGAAGCAATAGTAGCAACACAGGTGCTGGTCCAAAATTGTTACGATCAGAGGAAGGATGTGTTCCTATGCTTGTTAGATTACCAAAAAGCGTTTGATCGTGTCCAACACCACAAGTTAATGCAGATTCTCAAGAAAGTTGATATAGACCAAAAAGACATAAGATGCATTGAAAAATTGTACTGGCATCAAACAGCACAGTTAAAAATAGACAATTCTATATCCAAACCCATACATATAAGAAGGGGCGTTCGACAGGGATGTGTGCTTTCCCCTCTTTTATTTAACATTTATTCGGAAGCCATATTTCAAGAGTCTTTGGAGGATGCAGAGATGGGAATCAAGGTGAATGGAGTATTGATACTCCATTCAACTTGATTCCCAACATACGATATGCTGATGATGGTGTCTTAATTTGTGACAACATAGTCGATCTTCAACAACTTGTCACTATAATCGGAGAATACAGTAAGCGAATGGGATTAGAGATTAGAGACCGAAAAGACCAAATTCATGATCATCTCCAGAAACTTGGATGCACTTGAAAACTCCACCATAACACTGAATACTAAGTCCATTGAAAGAGTGAGTAAATTTAAATACCTGGGATCGTGGCTTTTTGAAGACTGGGCATCGGACAGGGAAGTACAATGTCGCATTGAGCAAGCTCGACAAGCTTTCGTAAAATTCAAGAAGGTACTGACTTGTTCAGAGTTCGATCTTCAACTGAGACTAAGGTTTACTACGTGCTACGTATGGTCAGTGCTGCTATATGGCGTAGAGGGCTGAACACTCACAACGAGGGATATAAACAGATTGGAAGCTTTCGAAATGTGGCTTTATCGCTGTATCCTAAAAATATCATGGACAGCGAATATCACAAATATAGATGTCCTTAAGAGAATAAACTAAGAACGCCAACTTTTCGAAACCATCAAGAAAAGGAAAACGGCGTATCTAGATCACATCATACGAGATGAAAAATACCAGTTCCTCCAACTTATAATCGAGGGTAAAATAGAAGGCAAGAGAGGAATGGGACGCAAGAAAATGTCCTGGCTCCGAAACATAAGGCAATGGACAGGGATTAACGACATACAATCTCTGATACATATTGCAAGAAATAGAGAATTAATGGAAAATGTGATCGCTAACATCCATTAGTGGATTTGCATCTGAAGAAGAAGAAGAAGAAGAACTTATTTTCTTCCTATACCTCTACGGCCCTCTATTTTGCCTTTAAAGATCTGTTCTAATATTTTATATTGACTTCCCCTTACTGTATGTCCCAGATAAGACTTTTTCGATGTTTAATAGGCTTTAGACGTTCTCTATCTATGTTGACGTTCCTTAGTACTTCTTAGTTTTCCTTGCTGTTTAAGGTATCTTCAGCATTTGTCTATGAACTCACATTTCCAATGCTTCAATTTTGTTTATAATTGATACTTTTAACGTCCACACTTCTGCACTATACAAAGGTATGGACCAAACAAGTAGAATTTGGAGACCTTCAATATTATCTGATAGAATTACTGTATCGTCTGCATACTTGATCACATTAAGTAATTCCCCGTTGAGTTTTATTCCATATGGTTGCCTCTCAAGTGCCATTTTAAATAACTTGCCCGAGTAAACAGTGGACAATGTTGGCGATAAAATGCAACCTTCTCTCCAATTTTTACAATAAAAGTTTGATTCCAGTAAAAATTTTTAATGACACGAATATCTTTGTCATCTATTCCGATATTTTTCAGTATTTGCCTTAATTTTACATGCTGTACTTTATCGAATGCCTTTTCGAAGTCCACGAAACATGCAAATACATCTTTTCTTTGGTCACGGTATTTTTGTAATAGGACGTTCAGCGCAAAAAGTGCCTGCCTGGTTTCCATAGCATCTCTAAAACCAAATTGGGTATCTTGGTGAAGTAATCTTAGGAAGATTTTAAGAATGTGGCTCATAAAGCTTATTAATCGATATTCTGAGCATTTTCCTGCATTTTGTTTTTTAGGTATTGCGACAAAGATGGATTTGAGCCATCTTTGTTTACCAATTTGTCATTGCCAATCTGTGGGAATCACTCCGGTATTATATATTGAATTAAAAAGTCTTAAGAGTAACACTGATACACGCTTTAAATTATTTAAAGACAATACATATTATTTTATAAATTTTCCAAAGACTTCATTTCTTTATAAACAACGTTATTTCTTTATTAAATAAAATATTTATTTACTATGATTTTTTTACAATACACCAGTGACATATATGACATATACGTATAAAATATACTTTTAAAATTAGTAGTAGTTTTTGCTTATAGATGGAGCTGGGGTGTTCATTACGAAAGACATACAAAATAAGCAAATTATAATATTGATTATATAATTTTTATGTGCTTCTGAAATATATGTTTCTTTATAGAGTTATTATGAAGCTTCTGACATAATCGAACGAAGTGGTGATAATTTAAACAAATTTACATCTTATTTTATTCGTCTAGTTAGTCAGGAAATGTTTATGTTCGACGAGGCAAATTTGACATGTGAAGCTCAAATTGGAGATATCTACACAGCACAGAAGTCAATAATATTGCAAAATAGTATTTACAGTGCGATGAATTATTCTGATACAGAAGAATATCCTGTAGCTGGTAAGTATACTTTATAGTTTATCTTAACAAACTTCTTTTTTATTAAATATTCTATCTATCTATCTCTATCTAATCAGCCTTAAACGCCCACTCTTGGGCATAAGCCTACCCTGATATTCTCCATTGGTCTCTATTTTGGGCGATCTGCATCCAGTCCTTTCCTGCCGTTCTCTTAAGGTCGTCAGTCCATCTCATCTGTGGTCTTCCTCTTTTTCTTTTCTTTTCCCATGGTCTCCAGTGTAGAATTCTTCAGGTTTTGATTCTTTACATAAATTTGTCTGTAAGAAGTAACTCTTGTTTTGAATACAATTTTTTTTCTTGATTAGCGACTTTGATTTAAGTACTTCGTATTCTCTCTTTTTTTGGTCTTCCCATGGGCTAATAGTTTTTTATCACTTCACTGTTTAATGCTATTTTCTCTTCTTTTTGTTCCTGCTGAGGAATAATATTACTTCTTGTTTTTCCTTTAGAAGTTGAAGACATCTGCAGTGATTCTTCTTGTGTATCTTCTGTAGAAAAATTTAAGCCATTACTGCCACTACTTCTTAACCTAAACGCCTCAACAAGTTATTTTGAACAACGTTCATGTAGAGAGGCGCTTGGTTTACTGATGCAAAACTATTACACAAAATTAATCGCTTGGTCTAGTGATGCCAAATTCAAAATCCAGAATAAGATGAAAGGCACTTGGTCTTTTTAAAAATATCTGTTTAACCATTATTAACAGATTAATGGGATTTATTCTGTAGATAGTTTATGTTATTTATCACCAGAAAGCGAAATAATCCACAATATTAGAAAATGGCGCTTGGTCTAGTGATGCCTAACGCCGTCCAAATATGGATTTACAGAACATGCAAATAAAAGAATCTGGTATATGTAAAGCAATTTTTCTACTGTTACTATTACACATTGTATCTATATATTATTTATTACATACATATACTTTACTATTATATTTATTTCTGTTGTTATTTTTAGGAAGTCCAAGAACCATCGCTAGTGTGAATATATTTGGAGCATTTTTGATTTATAAATTATTATTGAGCTTTTAAAAGCATTATGGACTAATCCATTATACAATTTTAATAAAATTTAAAAGCAAATTATTCTTAAATAAATATTATTTTATCCCCACTTCACATCACTTTTAACTAACGTATAAATATAAATGAATGAATCCATAAAAAAAGTTTTATTTGTAAGATATATCTAATTGTATTTATTCCGAAAGATTTGCGCTGTTAGTACATTTAAATCTGAAACTAAGATTAATACTATTACAAGAAGGCTTAAATTAAACTCAACAGGCTTCTAGGTAAAACCGCGTCGATTAATACTATGTCGAGATTTCGACATCATCTCTGATGTCTTCTTCGAGGCTTCCAATATTTCAGTCTCCAGAGTCCTCAGACTATACACTGCCTAACTGCATTGCATACTACGGTAACCAGGCAATTAAAAGATCAAAAAGTGATACAGCGCCATCCTGATGAAATTTCAGTAGAAATATTAACCCTTTCTTTACCAGACCTGACGCAGTGCCACAGTTCCCAGGATTTTTGAAGTGCCAGCAGTAAAAGCGACGTACATACGGTTGCTCATTAAATGCAAATATAAAACAAAAGTATTTTAAAAGTTATTTTAAGTTTTAAACGAAAGTTCTTTTAAATATAAAATGAATAGAAGTGGTCATTAGAATTTTTCCTGGGTATGGTAAATGCCAAAGCATAGATTGCGCAGAGACTCACGTCACATTCCTGACACATGTACCTTGATTCTCGCGCCGTTTCTTTGCTTGAGTCTTTGTTGTTGAGCAAACAGTGCATCTACGAACTTTGTTGTTGGGGACAATATCAGGAAAATGTCTACCTACAAGACGAAAAACGTTTCGCACAGGCACTACAGTTGTATGTTTTGGTAAATGATACCTAAAATAACATCTCATTGTAACAAGATAATTTCAGACTAGATCCACATACCTGTCTAGAGCCTGTCAGCTGTCAAGCCTGTCGGCTTGAAAATTAATTGAAAAAAACTAAATTTATGGTAATCACGAAATCAAGAACATCAGAGCTAATCTTGTAATAGACAATACAGCGAATGAGCGTGTGCCCTGTTATAAATATCTAGGTGCTTGGATCACAGACATACTGATCAAACAAAAGAGATTAGATTGTAGAATAGAAATAGCTAGATCAGTCTTTAATAGAATGAGCAAACTCTTTTGCAATCGTGATATCAATATAAGTTACGAATACGAATGCTGCGGTGTTATGTCTTTTCTACCCTGTTATATGGAGTTGAGGCTTGGACACTAAAACAGTTGACCATAAAAAACATCGAAGCTTTAGAGATGTGGTGCTATAGGCGCATTCTCAGAATATCATGGATGGACCGCGTCACTAACACGCAGGTACTCCAAACTTTAGACAAAAGATGCGAAATTCTAAATGAGATAAAAACTAGAAAGATGGAATACTTGAGCCGCATTGTGAGAGGTAAAAAGTACGAACTTTTAAGAAACATCATGCAGGGCAAAATAAGGTCAGAAGAAGTGTGGAAAGAAGAAAAATATCGTGGCTTCGTAATCTACGTGAATGGTTCGGGTGTAGTTCGATTGAACTTTTTGGCGCGCTGCTAACAAAGTCGCAGTGGCCATGATAATTTCCAATCTCCGCTAGGAGTGGCACGAGAAGAAAAAGACCTGTCTAGAAGCTGACGAATCAGATTCAAGTGGAACTGGGATAATGGTGCTTTCTCTGGGTGTTGTGTAAGGTATAAGGGCATGTGCATTTAGAATAGAAAGGTCCAATATGGAAAGAAGAGCTTTTTATTCCATTTGACGGCTTTTCTGACGCTTTTTGTGGAACTTAGTAACATGTTAGTCCTATCCACTGCTTCCACATTCATATTGTAATCTATTACACAAGCTGGTTTTTTAAGAATGCCCTTGTCTTTCTGTCTTTTTTAGTCAATTTTACCATTCTGTTTTGGTGCTTGGTAGTAAGCATAGTGACCTCTTTTCGATTCTTCCATTTTAGTACCAACATATTGCAACTCGACATAAGGAAGTTGCACCTTTTGTAGTTTTTTGCTAAATTAGGGATGTGTTTTCTGGTGACCGTGACTGTTCCACAAGAGTCAGTTTTATGGTCTAATAGGTTGTAACGAAAATATTTTGCCCACCACAGTGGGCATTAATACAAGGGGTAGAAAATTGGGGGAAGAAATTATTGGGGGTGAAGATAGAGCAAGCAAATAAACGAAACATATGCGAACGGCACTCAGGGTTTGGTAGGAGAGCTGGGGTCATGGATAAGTAAAAGATAAGGAGGTTGGATTTTGGCAACTACAAAAAAATGAAATAAAGGGGTCATTAATCTCTTGGGATAAATAAAGTAAAAATAAACAGAAAACACCTCAAGAAATGCTCTATCAGAATTCTGATAAGATGTCTTGTTTGGCTGTAGTGATGCCCTCGATATTGATGCCACCTTGTAATAAGAATCCGCTTGAGGTTGAGCAGCATTTTCAGCGAAGTGTAACATTCTCAGTATAGACTGAAAGCGATTCCGGGACATTACACTAGAAACTATGGATGTATATGTATATAACAAATCGTTTGTTGACCAATTTTCTGTAAGTTTGGAGGCATTTAAAATGTCTCAACATTATAGTCTCAACACAAAGAAACATCGAATGCATGTAGCGGAAATGAGAATATTTTTATAACTCACAAATACACACAATTGTATACTTTTGTACTTTTGAACTTTTGTACAAACCTTAGTTCCTAGTGACATGTGTGTTCTAATAGAACAGTGGGACCAACATGTCCGAAGGTCAAACCGGTCACACGACGTAATGAAATGGTACCTATTTGATCCCCAAGCTATAACCAACCAACCCTACCGATTTCAGAACACAACGAATGAGGATGCTGTATACTGAACGTTACTTTAGATGTCATGTGTAACGGGACATACTCTATTTTACTTTATGTGGTTAAGTGACTTTATTTTTCTCCTTATGATTGACTGAATTTTATTTTTACGTTACTTTGGACTTGTGTCCCATAATGTGTGTTCCGGACAGCGAAACACCGTCATAATTCAGCGACTTATCTGCGGATTGTGTATACTGATACTCAGACGCCAATTGGCAAAATAATGATCTTCTTGTCGGCTGAGCACTCGAAAGGTCTGACCATCGAGCCCACGTGTGTGGGTATCTTAATGCTCAGATTCCGCGAGCTTGGTCCATTTGACCTACCTTTATTTTTTTTGTGGAAAAGATAATATCTTAAAACAACATTTAAGAAAAAATCTCACCGAAGTTTTATTATTCTAATTCTGTGTTTAAAAAGTATAGGTACATTTGCCGTTACAAAAAAATATATTTCTAGAGAAACTAGTGTATTAAGTAATGTTTAGGCACATTTGCCATAAAGAAAACTAAAACAAGTAAATTGTCCTCAACAAAAATTAATATAAACAAAACTAAATCTCCAACTTATTATTGTTCTGAAGCTATTTTCTTGTGGCATTGTAAATTAATTACTATTAAACTGGGAATAAGCCACAATTAAAGATAAAAATACGTTTATTGACGTTTTCAATTTCCACTTCGGAAATCGTTCTCAAAATACAAACAGTAAATTAAACAAATTTTGTTTTTGTTACATAGTGAAAAAAAATTCTTCTAATAATTTAATTTATCTGACTTATTTATATTGACAATTCAGACATACATTATGCATTTTAAGTAGACGACTTTAAAATGATATTGCCAATATTGTTGAGTTGCGCTCCTGGGACGACTTTACTTATAAGATAGTTCATTCGAATACATGAAATCAACTTTAACTTGAGAATATCCGTCAGAAAAAAATCATAGCATGTAATTCGTCTTTCAAAAGACAACACATGACGTGATGACGTCATTGTGATTTCATTCGTTTTAGACCTACATGAATTTTGATTTTGGGTATAAGTTCTCTCTTTGTCTTCTACTTTTGTGTGACTTCAAATAAAAGCATATTTTACTGACCAAATGCTCTGCTTCCGTTCATTAGAAATTTTCATATGACACTTCATTTTGCACGAACATGGTCCAACTACGAGTTCTTTAGCATTTTTAGGTTTTCCTTCTTCCGTGACATATTCTTCTCCTTTCTCCCTGGATCTCCCTATCTTCCTTTTATACCTTGCATTATTGTTAAGATTTATCCTCTCTTTCTGGAATGTTGGTGCGATTTGCCTTCTGTTTCACCATTGTCTTGACTCTGAGTGTTATTTAAAAAACATAAATGATGTATCCTCTATATGTTACTGACTTACTAATACTGGTATTTTCTTATTAATAACTTCCTCTTTCAATATTGGTAACCAGATATTTAAAATGCATAATGTATGTCTGAATTGTCAATATAAATGAGTCAGATAAAATTAAATTATTAGAAGAATTTTTCACTATGTAACAAAAAACAAAATTTGTTTAATTTACTGTTTGTATTTTGAGAACGATTTCCGAAGTGGAAATTGAAACGTCAATAAAACGTTTTTTTATCTTTAATTGTGGCTTATTTCCAGTTATAAATAGTAATTTATTTATCACTTATTTACATCATTGTATATAAGGTTATATTAAACATTAACTACCAAGTTTTCCGATTCTACGTGATTTGGTTACATAATTATTTAGTTTTTATACCTTCTCCTGTAAAATTTACTTTTATGCACATGTTGCCTTTTGCCTTTAGCAGTTCATATGTTTGTAAACATATTGAGTTAAATATGACGTTGACTTGGTTGTTTTGATTAGCAGTGTATTTTATTAACTGTTTTCAAAATCATTGGTAATGCTTATAACCGAGAAGCTCATTTCCGTTTGTGACTTTGAAGCCGGCCATGTGAGAAGTGTGTTAATCCTTTCATCCCCATGCTGTTAAAGACAATTAACTCGACAATAACTAATCCCTAATTTAAAGTTATAGCTTGGGGTGGATTTCTATATGAAATATGTACCCGTAAAAAGGATAATGATATAACTTTTTCAATAAAATTTTGTAGCACAATTAAGATTTATGCGAACATCAGTA